TGTCTCATTCTGATCACTAATCCTGCGGTCAAACGAATTGAACCACAGAACTGGGACACACACTTTAACACCCACCCAATGAATACTTGAAGTGGACTTCTTGGAGAACACATTAATTTTTTTTCTTAACTACAATTAATTAAGCGATTAATTGTAATTAACTTGCCTAATTATGGAAATCTTCAGTCGAATTGCAACAATACTTCCAGCATCGAAAATGAGCTCAAAAACCGTCTGGAATTCCTATTCTTGCGCCCATCTTTACGAGACCAGCTTATTTTAGGCGTTGATGAGGCTTGAAATGCACACCACCAGACAATGTATCGGTTTTTTTAGCTAAAAGTTGTTGCAAGGCTTGAAAATGCAAGATTAGCATGCCGTGGAATGCAGTAGGTTATTTCATGATCAAATAACGGCCAAATTCTTTTTAAAAAATCGTGTTATGCATACCTGAAAGGCGTACTCACCTTTGGAAATGCCACTGCCACCATTTTCTTTTCTCGTGGACGAAGACATCGAAGAATTCTACAGACGGGAGGAAAAAAAGCAGCTAACTACAACTGTCGACAATCACAATTCCCTTGGGAGCGACAGCAAATGGCCGAGGCAGCCTAAATATTTGTGGCGGAATTTAAAGTGAGATCACTTAACTGTCGGATTGGACAACACAGAAAAAAATGAACGGGCACATGAAGGTGGACGTTGACGGATACAACAAAACACCAAGTCAGCAACAGCACGACGTCGATGTGGCTGTCTGATTACACGCCTGTAGCACCGTCAACGCGTTATCCAGTCAAATCAGCCGAGTCACAAAAAAATAAAAAGTCAAAAGTCTAGCCAAGGATTCGATCGTTCCCAAAACATAGAAGGCTCAACGCAACAGAACACCGGCACAGCCACACACATAAGAATCTCCTTAACCAGGAATAATCCACTTAGACAATGAATTAACACAGTGAAAAGACAACGCCGAAGCTATTTAAAACCGGCAGAATTACACTACTAAAATACAATATTAGTGTTACAAGTCACTACCAGTAGGGGGCTTTGTAGGTATCTTCCGTCATCATCATCACACAAGCTGATGCAATGGATCGAAAATCTTATTAGACCTCTTAAAAAACACTGAGAAGCCAGTGTCACCCAAATGGCCTTGGAAGACTCCACCCATAACAACACCAGGTGCCGAAGAGTCGCCTCGCCAGCAATATTGTGCCAATCTAGGGCAACATACAACACAAAGGAGTTCTCGCAGTCATTTTTATCCTTGAAGTATTGTGAGGGGCTTTGGCGTAGTGGAATGAAACTATAGCAAGCCGACCACTAAAACGAGTGCCATTTCGGCGTTGTTGGCGGGAAAATTTTCCAAATTGTGGATCACCTTATCCCACCTTGGAGTAGGCGCATGCCAACGTTTTTGTGGGAACACTTTGCATTCGCTGCAGCAAAAATTAGCAAACGGGCTGATGCAATGGCGTTTAGTGGGTTGCTTAAATGAAGTGAGTAGCAGGCATGCCAAATGGAGCGGTGCTGGAGGCGGCAGATCCCGGTGTTTGCCTTTTTAATCACACACAGCTTGAGTGCAAATAAATTGTGCATTGACTGCTTAAAGAAGTGATTGAGTGCATTAAACCGGAGTGGCCGTGCGTAAGATCATGCACCACTGGTGGAGCAGCTAGTGGGGGATGTTTCACTATCGCCAGATTATTTCCGTACGGTAGAACGCTTCGATATCAAAATCAACTTTTTAATTGGCGAAAGCAGTAATGATGGCAGACGTCGTAACAATGAGATTGGTGCGTTCTTTTAACAAACCGATACAATTAATCCGGGCAGCTAGCGGGGATGTTCCACTATCGCCAGATTATTTCCGTGCGGTAGAACGCTTCGATATCAATATCAACTCTTTAGTCTGCGAAGGGAGTAATGATAGCAAACGTCGTAACAACGAGATTGGTGT